TGCAAAATTTTTAGTTTCCGTTCTCTAACTTAAGTTTGCCTCAACAAAATGTTATGACACTTATACACAATGCTTATTACCACAAAACACAGATCAAGTTTGAATTTTGGTGGCGTCACTTAACCTTCTAGAGTTATGCCCCTTTATAAATGGAAAAATTGCAAAATTTTTATTTTCTTCTAAATATCAAATAATTTTTCAATTGGAGTTATCTTCCTTTGTCCATGATTATAGTTGAATCAACTACAATCAATGCTTTATACAGTGCAATGTTTAATTTTGACTTCCACTGATAAAACACAGATCAAGTTGAATTTGGGTAGTGTCACTTTAACCATTATTGAGTTATGCCCCTTTATAAATCGAAAGATTGCAAAATTTTTAGTTTCCATTATGTAACTTAAGTTTGCCCCAACCAAACATTATGAAACCTATATACAATATTCATTACCACAAAATTAAGATCAAGTTCAAATTTTTTGTTTCTGTTTTCTAACTTTAGTTTGCCTCAACCAAATGTTATGAAACTTATACACAATGCTTATTACTACATAATACAGATTAAGTACGAAATTTGGTGGCGACACTTTTACCATTCTTGAGTTATGTCCTTTATAAACAAAAAATTGCTGAATTTTTCGTTTCCGTTCTCTAACCTTAGTTTGTCTCAACCAAATGTTGTAAAACTTATACACAACCGTTCTAGAGTTATGCGTGTTTACAAATAGAAAAATTGCTGAAATTTGAGTTTCTGTTCTCTACTTAAGTTAGCCTCAACCAAATGTTATGAGACTTACACACAATGCTTATTACCACAAAACTCAGTTCAAGTTCAAATTTGGGTAGCATCACTTTTACTGTTCTTCAGTTATGTCCCTTTATAACTATATGATATGCAAGCGGGGGCATCATCTGTGTCCACATGTGGACACTACACACATTTATTTTGGAAAAAGGAGGGGGGGGGGGGAGGTGGAAAAAAATTGGGGGGGGGGGGGGTGGGGGTGTGGGTGGTTTAAAATAGAAACTGTGAGGGAGGGGACATTTTTTTTTCTTTTTTCAGATTCAGAACTTTCTTCAAATATTTTTTTTTTTTTTAAAGGGGGGGGGGGGGGGGGGGATTTTTATTTTTTTTTTGGGGGGAGGGGGGTCAATTCGCAACAGCATAGTATTGCACAAAAGCAAAAAATTGAATATAAATTCAAATCATATAACCAATTCAAAGTTCTTTGACTACAGTTATTCTGTGTCAGAAACCTATTATGTGTCAAATATTTAATTACAATCCAAATTCAGACCTGTATCAAGCGCGAATATTGTGTCCATTTTTGCCCCAACTGTTCAGGGTTGGAACTCTGCGGTCGTATCCAGCTGCGCTCGGCGAAGCAATTTATTAAAGCTTTTGTTGTGTGGGAGGTTATGGGTTCCATCAACAAACGATATGAAAATAAGTACTGGCTGCGACTCCTGTTAGCACACAAAATTTAGGAGTAAGAACAAATACTGGTTAAATTTGGGTCAAAATAATGATATGTCTGGGTAGGTTGACAATTTTTGGTAATTGTTACTTGATGAACTAGCAAGGTAAAAATCTCTCATCTGTTGATCAAACAAAGCAGGGTTCATTTTCGCTTCATATTACATGACCTGTCCTGAATATGTACTTTTTTAACTGTGACTGGACTTTATTTCATTTGTTTTTTACAACTCATTGTCTTACTGATTTTCCTATCATTTATTTTTTTCATTCGTCCGTTGTCTGTGAACTATTACAATTGCAAACTGACACCAAACTTGACCACAATCATCCTTGTAGAATCTAGTTTAAAAATGAGTCTGATGATCCTGGCAACCAACATGGCAACCAAGTATTATAGATAAAGATGTAACTATAAAGCAAAATGATCAACAGGATAAGATCTGCAAATAAGTCCACATGACCAAAATAGTCGGTTGCTGCATATAGGAGGGATTTCCTTTGAAAGACAATTTTAACCAAAATTTGTATATATTTTTTTGCGGAAATTACAGTATTTGACGAGAAGCTAATTGGAACAAATTTATCACCAGGACAAAATCTACTAAGAAGTCGACATGGCTAAAAGCATATGTCAACTCTTAAGACAAGTTATTGCCTCTGAAGGACAATTTCTTCCCATTTATGTCTTTTGCGGAAACCAAAAATTGAAGATAAATTGTAAAGGCAAAATTGATAAGCAGGACAAGATCTACAGATAAGTTAGGATGGCGGAAATGGTCAGTCGACTCATTATAGGAGTAATTGCCCTGTAACGATTTTACTTATGTTTAGTTTGTTTCATTTCGTAACGAAAAAGTCATGGAAGAAAAGATTTCCCTATCAGTCTGTATCTACTGTTGTTGATACCATATGAACTGAAAAATGGTCTCCATAGCTTGTCTGTTTGTTTTATTTTCCACTCTCCCCCACCCCACAACCAATTGTGTTTTTTTAGATATATATATAAAAGGCTTACATCTAAAACTTTTATTTTAATTTCTTGCAAAAAGCTTTACAATTTATTTTACGGTTTACTGCAAATCAATAATTCTGGATGTAAGTTTTGCTATCACTAATGTTCACCAAATTGAATGATAACATCTAACGGAAAGAGAGAAATACTTTACCGTGAACGGTTATGTTTGATCACAATGCCAAGTAAACTTTTATCATGTTGAAACTTTTTGTTTTGTCAAAATGTCAGATTTGAAATGGTCTCGACTCATGCAGGCATACCCTGTATTTTATCCTTTTCTTTTTCATTATTTTGTTTTTATCATATAGCAGTTAAAATATCAGATATTTTGAAGCATGATTTAGTTTACATAGAATATGATATTTCTATCATGTATGATATGAAGTGACAGCTGTATTTTTTACAATTGTATTTTCTTTCTTAAACTTATCGTTACACAATTTTTTTGACAAATACTGATGGAGATTTAATCATATTTGATTATATATATTATAGAACACTTTCAATTGATAGATATATATATATATACATTATGGTACAACTTGTCAGTGGGTAACGACAAACAGCCATACGTTTTATATTCATCAATTAACTGTTTCCAAACTTTGAATTGTTCGAAATACTAAGGATTTTTTTTAACCAGGAATAGATTGCCTTACCTGTATTTGGAAAAACCATTCTGAATTTTTGGGACCTCAAGGCTCTTCAACTTTTAATTTGGCCTTTTTAACTTTTTTGATTTTAGCGTCACTGATGAGTCTTTTGTAGACAAAACGCGCATCTGGCGTACAAGAGCCTGATATCTCTGGTGTGTTTTTTAATTGAACTACGTATAACCATACAGTTTACTCGACTGTCGAACATTTCATGTTTAGATGTAAAACTATCTACATTTCAGAGTTATGAGCACAGTTTGGAAATTTATGAAGGAGCATAAGTCTGGAAAGCAATATACAGAGCTTTAGAGCACAATAGCCAAAAGGTCATAAAAAGAACAGCCAAAGTTAGCCGAGGTCAAGTTTGTCTGATGAAATTGCAACTTTAGTTTAAGCACAATAACATAAATTATGAAATAAATTTTTATTGATATTCGGTATATCAAAACAAATAAAGGTTTATATTGAATTTAAGTACTCAGGCATGCTGTTGAGGCGACATTTCATATTCATACGATCGACCTTTTTCTTAGTATGAAATTGTTTCCCCTAACAACTTATTTCATGCATTTCCTGTAGGATGCATTTGTTTTGTGAAGATCGCTATGATACATGTTTTGGCATATTGCACCAACAACGACCATGCTAGGATCCAGAATAAGTCGGAGTCTTTTTTTTTATTTCGTTTTTTTTTTATTCCAAAATTGGTATTTTTCCTATCTAAATCCGCCCATTGTGATACATAAACGACTTTAGCAAAAGCAGAGTGTATATGTGACTTCTTGTTTTAAAAATGTTTGCTTGTTTATGGGTTTTTTTCACAATGAGATTGTTGGGCAAATTATAACAGTATTTGTTAGATTTCTTTGTCCTTTATAGTTTATTTGTTCATATACCCCCTAATCTGCAATTTTTAATGCATAAATGTAGCTTGATGAATGCCTAAAAAAGATTTCCACTAGGGACCATCTTAAATTTGCAGCGAGGTACGAGTTGTTGTTGCATGCTGTAGCCTCCTTTCAAATAGACAAAAACAAACTTTGATTTTTGTTTTCTTTGGTGCGTATATGGATTTTGTGCAAAAAGATACACCTTGTCCCCTTTTTTCTTTTTTAAGAATAGAAAATTCACAATAGGTAAATTGAAAATAGATCGTAGAAATTGTTTGCGAGAAGTTTTTGTATATATTCACATATATAGATTGGCTCTATCTTCAGAAAACACAAGCAGAACTCATTGGAATACCAAATATATGTTTGAATAACAGCGATCTGATAATAAACTCTGTATTTTATATTGTTCACGCTTATGATAGAGTCTAAACACTTTTCTTCTTGTACAAATTAAGGATGCAACCATGAGCCACTATGAGCAAATCGGAAGAAAGAATCTTGTCATGTTAACAAAGCACTTTTAGGAAATCGTAGTTTTTATTCATGAAAAATAATATAGATAGTTAATTTTCGGCAGAGTTCTGTTTTAGTTTCCCACATTTTTTTTCTGCTTAAGAGTTTATAAAATCCAATATCTAGGAACGTAACTTTGTGTGAGTCAGTTAAATTTCAAAACATTTGCATTCTTTTTGTACACATTTCTTTAAATAAGTTCGGTTGAATTTTATTTATAGAAATCGCCCACATCCTCCAATCCCTACCAGGCCTTCAGAAATGAAAAAAAAAATAAGGCAAACCGGACATTACTTTTTCTTCCAAAGACGAATTGTATGACACAAGGCGAATTCAAAACAGAAATTCAAGTGAGCGTCGAATTCTATATTGACTTTATTCTAATCGATATTTAAATGTAATGGGGAGATAATTTTAGTGAAGCATAACAAACTAAACCTGTACACAAATAAACGAATGTTTTCAACTGATTTAAATTGTTATATCATGTGGCTCTGTAAATGTTTATTTTTGTAGCCGATCATTTTTATTGATATGAATTAGATTGACGAGTAGTGACTAAAACTTGTAAAGCACAACTGATGTTATCCACATTTGGAGTGTTCTTATTTCTAGTCAAAGTATCTTCATCGATTATTCGTAAGTATAATATTGCTCAATAACTATTATTAATTTGATAGCCTGGTTAGTGGGCATATTGGTCAAGGCGCTAGACACCGTGCACACCGTCGTGACCCCAATTAACCCCCTCAAAGATACCCTGGTTACGGGCCTGCAGGCAGTGTTGTCTTTGATGACAAATCAGCTTATGTTCTACTTCAGCCGTCACTGAATGCGAGGCATAGGGTTGCTAATCCGGTTTGGACGTAAACTATTTGTACATTTGTATAAAGCTTTATATTACAGGAGAACTGGATAATAAATATTTAAATTTCTATACTACAGATGCCTCAGTACTGCCAAGTTTTCATGAAGCAAATGCGTGAGATTTGGCCAAAATTGTAAAGATCAAAGAGAAAAAACAATAGATCAAAGGAGAATTCCGCCAAATATGCATGAAAATGCGTGAGACTTGGCAGCCCTGGATGCCTTATGTTGTGAACATTCCGTCTGGTATAAATCAGTTCACGGTCCTTGACCTCATTTTCATGATACAGCGACTGCTTAAAATACCGTACAGTTTTATTTATCACGTGAATATCTCACTTGTCATGAGTAATAGCCTAAGGATAACTATGCTTGGTATATTTCCACATGTGACAGGGTCCACCAGAACTTGACCCCATTTCATGGAGCAGAGAACAGATTAATTTGTGTGATCAAATCCGGATACTATATAATAAGCAATATGTCATTTATAAATGGTGTATTGAATGAATGTGAGGTGTACATGTCCGTCTGGCAGTGTTCATCTGATCTTGACCTCATTTGCATGGTACATTAGTCAGCGTAAAGTTCTTGTGGTTAGGTCAATATCCCAGATACTATAGTCAATAGGTCAATTATAGTCGGTATATGAAATCAATGATTGAATTGTTTGGTGTACATGTTCATCTGGCATCTGATTTGTGGTCAAGTCCGTATCTAAGATACGTTAAACAATACCTCATCTACATTTGATGTATGGAATGATTGTAATATGTACAAATGTATTTGTCCGCATTGCAGGGTTCATCTAAAATTGACCTCATTTTGCATGGTTCATTGGTCAACGTTAAGATTATGTGGTTACGTCCGATTTTTAGATGATATAAACAGTATTTTTACTTTAATTGGTGTATATCAGTAATAGTTATCCCATGAGGACGCGGTGTGTCAGTGTAAGATCATCCCGATGGCCGGAGGCCAGAGGGTGATCTAACACTGACACACCAAGTCCGAATGGGATAACTATTTTACATCCCAGCTGTTCTAGATTAGATAAAAACCCATTTACACTTCACAAAATCTAGTTTCGTGCTGGTGTAGGGTATGACTCGTGTGTCTATATGCTAAAGGTCTTGAGGTCGATTCCCAACATAGACACTGAATTTTTCAACATAAATTTTGATAGTTAGTCTTTTCCGTATAAATATTTCTAAGTTTTAGTATAAATTTGACATTCCCGCCAAAATGTTACAGAACAAAGGAAAGCATGCAGAACAAAGAAACTCAAGCTAGGGTGATATCTGGTAGGGGTAGAACAAAGGAGCTGGGATGTAATGATTGTTAGGTGTACATGTCCGTCTGGCAGGGTTCATCTGACCTTGACCTCATTTTAATTGATAATTGATAATAAAGTTTATGTGATAGCCCTAGTAAAATAATTATATTAAAGATGTTTAAAAAAAAGTTCAGTCATGATCAATAAAGCAGGCGATACATTTCAGCATTCGCACTCATGTTCTGTTCATCATATGAAATAAAGTTGCAGAATAAACCATAACATTTAACAATTTATATGTTTTACTTGTTTCTTTTGACTTGACTAACGTGACACTTTTCTAAGGAACATTTATGAAATAAGATAGCCTGCCGCTGTATACCCCCAAGGGCATCTGTCCTTTCTTATATATAGAGACAATATGCCTTATCATCAGTGAAATGAAACATAGATCAACGTTTCTTCGGTGAAAGTCAAAGGGTCATTACGTGGTTTAGATAAACAATATTTCTGAAATACAAACTAAATATGTACATTGAACACAAAAACGGATATTGTTAAATGCCCAAGATAATTTAAATCTTAAACGTAAAACTCTACGGCACTATCATACCTTAATTAATGAGCAAAACCTATCACAGCAAGCTATAAAGTAAAGGCCGTGAAATGATAATGGAAAACTACTCAAACGAGAGAACTAAAGGTATATGCAGGACGATGACATGTAAATGTCATAAGAAAATGTAAACTATGCCGAGTCTGAATTTTCAAATGCCAGTTCACAACGCAGAAAATTTCGTCTGACCGGGAATCGAACCTTTTCAAACGTCTCCTCTTGTGCATGTGCCGATCTGCGATAAAACACGGACAGAGTTGGTATGCAGAGACTGGAAGATGTATTGATAAACTCAACATTCAACTAAGCATCAATGAGCTGCCATTTTGGAAATGTTGCCTGTACACTGATCATAAATCTTCTTTTTTCTGGAGGGGGGGGGGGGGGGGGGGGGAGGGGGTTAAGGGGGTCTTGGGACATTTTTTTCGAATATGACCAAAAACAAACCATTAATTTAATAACATATAGGAAAAAGAAAGTTTTTAAAACTTTTTTCCCTTCTAATTTTCAATGGAAACAAACTATTTTGTTCACTTCCCTGATGAAACAAAGTTATTTTTGAGAATCTAACAATTTATTAAAAAAAACTCTCCCCAAAACTATTCGCTTTAAACTTTCCAAACACTCATACAAATCTGAGAATTGACCAATATTTTACTGTAGATACAATTGATTTCAGCACCCTATATTTTTCTTAAAATACATGTTAGAAATACCAAATGCACATCAAAATAAAAAAAATACATCTGTTGAACAAAACATCAACCAATCAATTACTTTCTCGGAAATGAGTTTGATATAAACCTCTAGTTTTTAAATTAAATTTTGAATATACATGACTCTTTTAACTCTCTTTTAGCAAAATATTGGAAGCTTTATCGTGCATAAATTTTAGTAAACGTCAAACTTGACAGATAATCTTGGAATAACATCATGGGTATGAAAAGTTTGAATTTCAAGTAAAGAAGAAATATTGAGCAATCTTGTTCAAGTTTAAGAAATGTGGCTTATCATCATTAAAGCTATGAATAATCTTTTGGATAACCCAAATAGTTCGCATATATACTTATGAACTGCAGGTGTAGTCTACAGTAACATATAGTATGTTGTTACTAAATCTAAGTACTGTTCTGTTGTTGGTACAAGGATCGTCGTCAGTCATTTGTAAGTACTGTTCTGTTGTTGGTACAAGGATCGTCGTCAGTCATTTGTAAGTACTGTTCTGTTGTTGGTACAAGGATCGTCGTCAGTCATTTGTAAGTACTGTTCTGTTGTTGGTACAAGGATCGTCGTCAGTCATTTGTAAGTACTGTTCTGTTGTTGGTTCAAGGATCGTTGTCAGTCATTTGTAAGTACCGTGTATGTGTTAAATTCAAATATTATCCATTTATAATTAATCTTCCATGAATTACTGAGATACTTTTCTTTTCAGTTAATCTTAATCTAACAACCAGTGGATATTACGATATCAATTTAAATTTTTTCCGATGGCTTCAGAGTGCCCCTACATATTTCATAGTGGATGGGACACGGTACAACTTAAGTGATAAATCGTTATATAGCAACGCAAGTTATGGTGGGAATGGTGTCGATGAATTTGGATTTTATCAATCAATGAGATATCGATACTATGTCGGAAAGACGATAATCGATTGTTCTATAAATACCTACGATACCGGAAACCATATTGTGTTTGAGCAGGTGAGTATAGAAGGTTAATCTATGCAATTACTAAAATTTTTCACCAAAAATAGTATATATAGAATTAACTTTACTGATTCCGGCTGGGCGTATACATATAGTAAAGACTTTCGAATGATAAGGATGAAACAAAACAGCGCAAAAAAACAACAACCAGGAAAACCTGATTCTTTATTAAAAAACGTTATAAATCTATTTTGAAAGATTTTAAAGGTTTAAAATTCGTCATATCAGGTGTAATACCACCAAATCATAGTACGTCACATCCGTGCATACGAAAAAGGGTCGAAAAAAAATATTCCCTTGAATTTGACAGTTGTAGAAAATTAATCCTACATTTCATTGCAGTAAAAAATTTCTGAGTCATAAACATTTATCTTGGGTGTTTCAAAGCACCATTGTTTTTTTTTTTTGGTGTTTCTATAGAATATTTTGGAAACTTGAGGTTACATGGTTACTAAAGCTTGTACACAGGAAAAAAAGGGGTGAACATTTGATTGGTTAACTCCCAGTGATGGTTATTATCTTATATGTAATGAAATGTTATGTGAAATTTTTACTGTAGTACTGGACAGAATGAAACTTTACTCATTCCAAGTATTTTTTTATTTGAAACAAAGATAAATTATGCGCAATTTTTTGAAAAGTGCAAATTTAACAAAGACTAATAGGGGAAAACAATGGTGGTATTATACCTTTCAGAATCTATGGCTATGACAGATTTCATTGTCCGTACACCATAATGAAAATAACTAGTAAGTTACTTCATTGGTTGATCTTCTATCGTGTAGAACTCTATTAACCAATCCAAACATTTTAGAAGGTGTACACTCTTAACCAAAATAAACTATAAATTCGGAAATTGTGAGTTCTGACTATAGTAAACCGAAGTCACTTGGACTCTCATAAGTCATAGTAAACAGGGACGAGAGAAGTGAAAGCAGTGGAAACAATTAACCGCAATCCCACAAGGCCACATTGTCTTTTGAATGAGTAAATAAGATTGAGAATGGAAACGAGGAAAGTGTCAACGAAACAACAACCCGACCAAAGAGCAGAGAACATCCCAAGGCCACCAATGGGTCTTCAACACAACGAGAAAATCCCGCAGTGTATATTAGATGATTAGAGACTAACACTTGAATATCCATATTGTACATGTGTTGACATGAAGATTTTTAACGCTTTTTCAGAGATTTGTAACCGGAGTTACAAACTCTAGGCCACAGTCATGTTCTGGAGATTTGCATTGTTATCAACAAACAACAGGAACCTTTCCATCATTCTATATAAAGAAAGGTCAAGTTAAAAACCTTGGTTACCTGAACTTTGGAGGAAGCATGCTTGGTAACAGTGAACTACAAACTGGGCAGTATGTATTTTAAAATTAATTTTGAAATGTTTTGACTATTGCGTGATGTCTTAATTTAGAAAAAAAAAACATTTTCTAAACTATAGGATGCAGTTTTTTTAACTATCTTTCGATAAATGTGAGTATCTATATATTACATTATACATATTTATTAACAGGTTAAATCCTAACTATCCTACTACCTGCCGATACTTTTATTTTGGCATTGCACAAGTCATATCTTCTTTGACTGTCCATCACGTTAAAACACTAAATCCCTGGGATGTGTTTTAGTTGATTTTAGTCTCTGATGCATGATTTTTTATTATTAATTGTTTTTGGCTTTTAACTAGCTTTCTGTAACTGCGAGTACTCTCAAATCGTACTTTCATGTTAGTTTGACCTGTTGATACAATTTGTAATGTATTTTTGTTATTTAATGTTTACTTATTCAGTATTATATCTAGTCTCACTATTTTTAATATATACCACCTTTGATAAGTGTTTAGTATGACGATAAATTTTCACTTTTGTTCTCGTTCTAGGAACAACAAAATTATTTATTTTGTAAAAATTATTTCCGTACTCCATGTATACCTTACAACAAAATTATTTTTGTTTACCTGTGTACGTTATTTTATTTGGCGGCATTTTGTCTAAGGTTATGGTTGTCTTTCTGATATTGTTTTACATCTAACCCCCTTGTTTTATTAGTTTGTATTTACATTGTGTCATAGATCAAAATTAATTCGTTCAGTGTATGTTCACTTGTTTTTGTTAATATGTCTTTTGAATGAATTAAGCCACTTCAATCGATATTATATAGTGTGTCTTTCTATGTTGTGATGTTACACTATTGTTTCAGGTAGGGTGAAGGTTGGCGCCTATTAAAACGTTTAAATCCGTTGCATTTGTTTGCACCTGTCCTTAGTCAGGAACCTGATGTTCATTGGTTGTCGTTTGTTGATGTGGTTCATAAGTGTTTCTCGTTTCTCGTTTTTTATATAGATTAGACCGTTGGTTTTCCTGTTTGAATGGTTTTACACTAGCAATTTTTGGGGCCCTTTATAGCTTGCTGTTCGGTGTGAGCCAAGGCTCCGTGTTGAAGGCCGTACTTTGACCTATAATGGTTTACTTTTACAAATTGTGACTTGGATGGAGAGTTGTCTCATTGGCACTCATACCATATCTTCTTATATCTAATTATTTGACAGAGGTTGCTCTCAGTATTAGTAATCTTTGATTGACTAAGTAGTTGAGTAATTAGAATAAATAAAGGAACTGTAGCGAAAATGTCAATAAGACGACACAAAAGCAAAATAAAAAGACACATAATTCGTTTACTGAAACTTTATGATATTTTGATTTGACATAAATATTTACTAGAAGACTTTGGGAAAATTTATGATTCTGCTATTTGATTCGGGAAATGTGGTTAAAAAATAACCATTTTAAATCGAAAAAACCTTGTATTTCAGATGGGATAAGACAACAGCAAACCTTACAGATGGAATGGGAGGCGGACCGATTGCCATCTTTGATGAAAGTGGGAATACAGTTATTATATCACCGTTGGATAATTTCATGAGTTCATCGTTCTGGCATGAAGACTATCCTGGAGGACGCGTCAATTTTGGTGTAATGGGTGGGGCTAAATCTATTCCAGCCAATTACAGACAACGATTTATATTACTTGCTTCGAGTTCTATCAATCAGGTTAGAAAGGATACAGTTGGTTGGTTGATAGTTGTTTTCTTTGACGTCCAGTGGTCAATATATCATGCATGTTCAAGACTATAAATTTAAAAGTTAACAATGAATACAATAGGTAGGTCCTGTAATAGGGGTTTACCGGGACGTGGGGCAGTTAGAAATTGGGGTAATCTTGGATAGGGACAGAAACTTAGCCTTGCAATAGGCCACCTACGTACCCCTCAAATAGTTGTTCCTAACGTGCAGAGAGCGTGGCACCCTCCCTACATGAGGCATCGGACTTAACGTCACCATTCTGACAAGCATTACATATTGTCCCATATCTCTATTCCTTTTGACACTTGACGATATGGCATAAAAGTAAAGGAGACAGTACCCTAACTAAGAAAATAAACAAGAAGACCATCGTACACTAAGTTTTGAATCTCCTAGATCGTGATCTTAGAGAATTCGTGAATATATTAAACATTTGACGCAACCTTCGAAACTAGACGGAAACATGAAGTGAGCGCAAAAATCCAAGACGAGATTCCCGACATGGGACACGCACATAAACATGTGTTGGGGTAATTCATTTTTGTGAGATGATATTCCATTTTACTAATTCGATCAATCAGGAAGAACAAACGATACACCAAAATTATACTAAATAAAAATTTAACGAAAAAAAATTCAATTATATAGATAACACTGATTACCCCCAAACAAAATATAAAAATAGAAATAAAAACACAACAACACAACAATATGTATAAATACTGAACAATATCTTATCAAAGAATTATGACTATAACTGAAAACAATCTCATAAAACTTAATCTGTTGGACATGGTTTGTCAAAAAGTCATGGCTTGACTTCATAAACTCAAATATTACCCACATTACTTCTCCTTCATACAGTTACTCCATGTTCATTTTTCTTTGCAATCCGATTAATTCAGTTTATCATATAAATCAATTATATATTATTATAAACATTCCAAAGGCATTTCAAGACCTTGGCAAAGCACTTAGAAAAGTGTCTGGTGCAGCACCCAAGAAAGACTTCTATCGTCAAAATGATGTAACCCTGAAATATTTAGGTTATTGGACTGATAATGGTAATTATGATAGCGTATTAAGACATAGATATGATTTTATTTGAAACTTACTCCGTTGCATATGCGTTTAAAGTTCTTCACCTGTATTTTGATCCACTACATGTCAGCTTAAAACATACCATAATGGTTTTAATACGTGTGTTGCAGTTATTGAAAAAGTACTTTTCAGATGCGAGAGACACACAGTTTCAATTATATTTTATCTTTATTAAATAAAACCTAGATATTGTAAATCAATTATTATGATAATAACATAACTTGCAAATAAGTAAAAATTTCTAAACCGGGTCTGCGTGTTTTTATTTTTTTGTGATATAATTTCAAATCTTGATCAAGTTTTCAAAAATGACGTTTATAATTTTGTATCGTGTAATTTCGTAATTACCGACCAAGTGTATGTCATCGGTGGTTGAATGCAAGTACCCTATGATATTGTTATAATTTTCTATTTTGTATTTTGAAATTTTCAATTTACAAAATAGAAAATATAACATGCTCATTGTCCAAGTAGCAAGTAATTTTGGCATGATATTATTTTGATTTCCACCCGATGCACAGGGTTTCGGTGTCCGTTTTAAGAGCAATGTATTTTTTGCGGAGGGAGGGGGATGGGGGATGGTGGAGGTATGGTTATTTAACGTGTGAAACTGTCATCTTTCCGATATATTAGTTTCGTGTACCGCGGAAGAGAGGTTTTTGCATTTGATACACAAGAATAATTTCGATATCTAAAATTGTGTAATACCACGAGTTGGTCGATGCTACCAGTCCCCCATAATAACACCAGCCTGGGACCCAGCGTTCCTAAAGTGACATTCTATCTGTGATATTGATATGACACACTGTGTACAAGCGTTCCTTAGCTAAGTTGGACTTTCTTCTATATCGGTGATATTTTTGCTTATTTCTCAACGTTTCATACTTTTAGATTTCCAATATTTTATTTTGAGTATCCAACGCTGATGAGAAATGACCTGTTAAAACATGTAAATAAATCGATTTTGTAACTTGTAATTCGTACTTCACCCTTGTATCTTTAATAAAACAGACTCTCGAACATATGTAATATAATATTATGTTAATCTTCGTAAATTGTACCAAGAGACATGCACAATCTTATTATAGTACTTATAGTAATACCAACATGTTCTTAGAAAACAAACATACTAGTATACGTTTTTTCGTCCAACCAAATGAAATATAAGTGCGTGCATTGTTATCATGAAATCGACCTTATTGCAAACAGATCATTTATTCTATTTATAGGTGCATACTACTATTACAACACTGAAGCCAATAAAACATACGAACAAACAATGAAAGACATATTTGATTATGCACAACACGAAAAGATACCATACAGGTTTGTTTTAATTATGATCAGTTCAGCGTCCTTTATTTTCGTATATATTTGAAGAGGTACGACCACTTTTCCTGTTTTGGGTTTAATTTGCAGTATTCGTATCAGGATGTTTTTTCAACGTGGTGGAACAGCCGGGAAGTGTACTTAAAAAATCGGAAAGATTTTGAAACCGGGTTGAGTTTTGATATTGAAATAAAATCAAATCAAATACCAAATCACATAAAGATTTGTGACATAATAAGGGAACTACCATTTGATTTTCATGGGAGGGCTCGGATGAAATTTGAAAAGAAAAAGGCAGGACAGGAGTTTTGAGTAAAAACAAAAGCAGGATGACAATTTATGTAAAAAAAAGTCTGGATAAACTAATAAAAAAAGGCAGGACCGAATAGAGTGAAAAATAAAACAAAAAAAAAAACAAACGCCAATATACAGAGTAAAAATATCCCTAGAAGGTATGAAAGCAACAAAATATATTCATATATAATACAGATATATCAAGAGTCCCCTGTCTTCAGTTTAATATCCTGCTATGTAAAGGACCAGAAGCCTTCTACTTCTTTGGAGTTTGATGGGCAAAGAAGATATTTGATATTGTCATTTTCTTTTTCTGAAATAAAATCTGGTATTTTTTTTTTTAAATTCCAAATAAGTCGCCTCTTAGTTTTGAAATTTTCTTAAAGTGAACTTTTCAAATTACAAATATTCTATAAAAACACATTATTCCGTATTTAATATTGAATTTAAAAAAAAGATTTCGAAGGAATTTCGCAAAGGTTACATGTTTTCTTTAATCTGATTGTTAAGAACATCTGTAACAAAAATTAATTACTAGTAATTTGTATTAAAGATATACAGATAAATATGTCTTCATATGAAATTTTCTTTTTTGATTTGGAATATTCTTCCTATTATTTGTTTAAATAATTTACTATTTTAAGCCATTTTTAAGCATTTATAAATCGATGAAATGTTCAGAAATATAACAACAAGTGAACATTAAAATACAGACAAAAGCTGTGAAAATATAAATGTTAGTAATATGTACAAGTTATATTAGATCTGTGAGTTCCCAACCTTTCCATTATTATTTCCAACGGTCCTTTGTTATCCAGCATATTTTTGCATATACTTTGAACTAAATTCTGCTTAAATTGTAATCTATCTACGTAAAATAAATAGTAATAATTGTTTATTTTCCAGATATTTGCAGTTAGATTCCTGGTGGTATTACAGAGGATCTGGAAATGGTGTAAAAGAATGGACAGCTAGACCTGAAGTCTTCCCACATGGAATTGAGTACGTTTCTTGGTACAGTTTTTGTGTTTCTTGGTCTAGTTTTTATGTTTTCTGATATATTTTATTATGTTTCTTGGTATAGTTTTATGTTTCTTGGTATAGTTTTATGTTTCTTGGTATAGTTTTATGTTTCTTGATATAATTTTTATGTTTCTTCGACTTCTTTCAGTTTCTAGCGATCCGTCATACTTAATTGAAGGTATAGATTTTATTTTTCTTCGTACAGTTTTCTGTTTCTTGGTAAAGTTTGTCAATAATATTGTTATGGCGAAGAATCACAGAAATTACCGACTAGTAATTAACAAAACGCACATTAAACGGGGAATATTTTTTACAAATAGTGGTTCAAAGTTGGATCTAAGAATATATGATATTTGTTGCCTAATTTGTGCTTCATCTATTGAACAAGTCTATTTTTCTATGTGATAATTCTTGTCGCTATAATAAAGTCTGCACTGCAATGAGAAGCTGACGCTAGGGAACATTCCATTGTGTGTTCAATACATGTTTTCTTACATCCTAATATAATCTAGAGCACTCTCTGATTATGGAAAAATCACTTTAATGGTAAAGCTGTGCAAACATTGTTGATACATAGCTGCTTACATCCGCGTCGTTTGAACTCTGATGGATAGTTGTTTCATTGATTTTATACTGTATGATTACTTTTTAGATCTGTTCAACAGTATACTGGATGGCCAATGGGAGCACATAATAGATATTGGTGAGTGATCAGTTCATCGAGAAAAATGTTTACATTTGTTCATTATTAAGTGCCAAGCTGCCTAAGAATCAGGCAGTGGTGAAAATATGACAAACTAAAACCCGCTCAGCTTTACATAAATTTAAGTTCAGAATGTATAATGGTGCATGAGTATAACATTTGTTTCCTTTCCCTGTTCTGGTAATGCAAGATATAATTTGGTTGAAATGCACAAGAAGTAACAATTAAGGGGAGATAACTCCGTAATTTGCTATCATCCTAACCAAAATTTATCTGGATATTTCTCGAATTACCAGACACGCAGAAACGAAAGATCTACCATTTCTAACTCAGGTTGAGGGTACCTTCAAAATAGGATGGTTAGGTCGGTGGGGTGTTTTCGGCCATGTTTTCAAATTTTTCTAAATTGCCTGATTCTTACAAAGACAGGAGTTCTTTTCACAAAAAAATCTTGAAAGTAAAAATACTCGTAAGTCATAAACATTTCAGTATAACTTACGATCAATTTCAATCGTAAGATTTTTTGTGAAAAGAGTCGCTGGTACTTAAAATGAAGTACTAGAAACTTCCAAATACTATAGTATTACACCAGCAATTGAACAACAAATACTGCATAGCCAAATCAGGCGCGGATCCAGTCATATTTAAAAGGGGGCGTTCCAACACATGTAAGTCATATAAAGTGGGGGGGGGGGGGGGTTCCAACCATATATCCCCATACAAAAGCTTTAGTTGTCAAAAAAAATAGGTGGGGTCCCAATCCCCGGAACACACACCCTGGATCCGCCATTGCAAATGCACCGATTTCTGTTCAACCATATATATGGTTTCTTAGTAGCGTACTCGCCTCGACTGTGGGAGGTCGTTGAATCGATCACCTACACGGTCAAAACAGACTTGAAAATTGGTATTTGCTGCTTCTCAGCCGAGCACATGGCATTAAAGGGTAAAAACAAAGACTGATCGGCTCAGTCATAATAATTGTGTCCGGGTAGGGTGACATGTTTACATGCGGACTATCACCTTGTGGATTAGCACATAAAAAAATCCGGCTCAGCGTGTCGTTCTAGATAGTATACATACTAGTAGTAGGGTTCATATTCATATCATATCAACATGTTCTCGTTTGGATTGTTTTACGTTTGTCATTTCGGGGCCTTTTATTGCTGACAAACGGTATGGGTTTTACTCAATTTTGAAGGCCGTACGGTGACCTATAGTTGTTAATTTCTGTGTCATTTGGTCTCTTGTAAAGAGTTGTCTCATTGGCAATCATACCACATCTTCTTATTTTTATATTTAACCTTCCACTGGAGGTTAAGTAGCCATCAATTATCATCCGATTAATTTCTTTTTGATATTGTGGTAATCTTTATAGATGAAGGAATGAGGATAAAATGTAAAATGAATATGAAAATGACATGTATTATGGTATACGTCAATGAGACGGCAACCGCAACCCTTACGACACAACACAAATAAACAAAAATACATATATACTGTACTTGATTTATGTTATTTTCAAATGATTTTGAATAAGGAATAGAATACACAAAGGGACAATAAAAAAACAACAAGTTGAAGAAAGACAAACAACATCAGGACCAAAAAAAAAGGAAAAATGGACAAACAACAGTCTACAAAACACTGTACAGAACACTAAAGGTTGAGCAACACAGAAGGGTAAGCAGTTTTTGCTCCGCCAGCGGCACCCGTTAAACATTTTTTTTTGGGAAAAGGACATGTGATCATATGATCTTGATTCATAGAAACGGAGTTTATCTATTGCTATTAGTGGGTGAAAATATACGACATTCGTATCAGAAATATATTTATAATAGAAACATGGAATTTTAGGGCAGTTGATAATGTGTACGCAAGACAGAATGGAGGAAAATATAATTTTGTGATGGCCCCCTTAGTGGCTGTTCCTAACGATACTGTAAGTTATTATCAGGGAAATTTTGTGATCAATTAATGAATGTTGTGATCAATTAATAAATGTGGTGACCGATTAATAAATGTGGTGATCGATTAATAAATGTGGTGATCGATTAATAAATGTTGTGTTCGATTAATAAATGTTGTGATCGATTAATAAATGCTGTGATCAATTATTTCGTGATAACACAGTACTCTCCACGCAGCTGTTCGTTACAATATCAGAACGGTACCTTTGTAGATGTTCTTTACGATAACATTATCAAAATACTATTTATCGATCCTTAGTACTGTTCCTTTCGATACCATGATACAATTACGCCTATTGTCTATTCCTAACGATGATATTTTCAAATAACTATTTTTTATTAAATCAAATAAAGTTGTAAAATATGGAACGAACCAAATTAACAATTTGCATCTAGAAAGACTTGTTAAAATGCAAGTTGGGGGTTTGGTGTGTTGTATAAACCTTGTAGGACTATAACAGGCAATCACAAACTCTTCCCATAAGGATAATTTGAAGAGATTATTACAAATCTAACAGTATACATGGAATTGTTTGTTCTTACCTTGAAGTTATATTACATTTGCTATTCTTTGTTCTAACATCAATGTCTATTTTCTAGAGTGTTTGGTATGATTTGATGAAAAATGCTACCAGCTGGGGCCTCAAAATGTATGAACAGGTAATATTTTAGTGTCCGTTTGCTGTCTATGAGTCGGTCATTATTGATTATCTGGTGACCTTAAATTTCTAATAGCCAACCGTTAAAGTGGACATAGTTTTAACAAAAACTAATTTGTTAACGTTGAAATAAGTATACATATAATATACGGAGATGTGGTCTGTTGCCAATGAAACAATTATTCAACAGAGTGCAAATGAAGTGGATTTAAGCAACTATAGGTCACCGTACTGTCTTTAATAATGAACAAAACTTATACCTTAGTCAGCTATGATATTGATGCCCCCGACATGACAAAAAAACCAATTCAAACTAAAAAATACATCGGCCTGATTCCTGAATATTTCTTCACAGAAATTGAATAATTAGAATTGAATTCTAATGCACCAAACTCCAATTTATATAAAAAAAAATGAAGTTCCGTCCGCGTAAACATTGTCAACTACATCGTTCATTTGTCAAAATCCAAACCAATCAGAAATTTAAAAAAACAGTGACGTATCCATCTTGTACTTCCGTTTCTAAATTTTGAATAAGAACAGATACAGATAACTAAAAAGACACCTCGAAGTCAACATACAGCCTTCAACAATAGACATGGTTTATGGTAAATGTCAAGTTCTTCATCGCCCGAGTCTAAAAAAAATGCAAATAAACTGAATACATATGAACTCTGGTTGAATGTTGTCCCATTGGCAATCATACCACATCTCGGGAAAGCTTTCCTTAAGTAGGTGCCACAGTCACCTTAGCTAATAGCTAAAATTGTGATTAACAATGGTTTAACACATTCTTTAATTTGCGGTGAAATACAGGACCAAGTTAGTAGGTCTCACATTGTATAGCGGTGAAATACAGGACCAAGTTAGTAGGTCTCACATTGTATAGCGGTGAAATACAGGACCAAGTTAGTAGGTCTCACATTGTATAGTGGTGAAATACAGGACCAAGTTAGTAGGTCTCACATTGTATAGCGGTGAAATACAGGACCAAGTTAGTAGGTCTCACATTGTATAGCGGTGAAATACAGGACCAAGTAAGTAGGTCTCACATTGTATAACTTTCTTAGATTTATGCATTGGTTGAAATCTATTTTGTTTTAAATCGTTGAAGTACAGTGGATTATTAAAGAACAAGCATTTCAGCCTTTATAAATTTTAAAAGGATTGGTTGAACGTTGAGACATTATTATCGAATGACCTGGCGGAAGATTTATTTTTGGGAGAAAGATGGTTGACAGAAATGGGAAACGCAGCACAATACAACAATATTACTATCCAGTATTGTATGTCATTGCCTCGACATGGATTGATGAGCACCAAAATTCCAGTCGTTACACAGGTAAGAGGTAACAAAAGTGGTAAAAACAACAATAAATGTAAAACAACAACAACAAATTGTTACGATTCGAAAGGACAAGGCATATTTCATTATATAAATAACACATAGCTGAGAGGGTGATAGAGCAGATTGTTACCCCGAGAAAACATTGTAAACTGAGGCGAAGCCAAGGTTGACAATGTCTTTTCGAGGGGTAACAATCTGCTCTATCGCCCTCTCAGCTATGTATTATTTAATTTATTATACTGAATGTTCTGCGATTAAATTTCAATTCAAAGTAATAAACTATGTCGTCTTGAACATGACAATCATCCGTATTTCTTAAAGCGCACACTTGAGCAAGCTTCTCCGTGAAGGGTAATAGAGTATTTGCCTTGGGATAGAGTAAATTATCTCCCTCGTATTACCCAATCAAAATGTGGCATTTTGACATGAAGTATAATAAATGCAATTATCTCATTGTTGTTGCATATGTTTCATTAAACCATGTACGTGTAAGGTTGTGAAAATGATCAAAGAGCAGTGTTTATGTTGGGTGCTTAAGGTTTGAACTCTCGATCTTTTGTTAAGTTTATCGTTGAAGGATAAGAAAACACAGCGAGAACAAAGCTTTTCTTTGACACATTAATTGTTTAATCGTTGTTTCTATGAGTTATTTTCACGTACACATCCAATCATTTATCTTCCAATGTATTACAAGTTTGTCTTTCATCCTGTATGGACGCAATGACATAAATCTCGTGTTTGTCATCTCCATATGACATTTCTTTCAGTTATAGTACTTCATCATGTTCAAATTGTTGTGCATACTTATGGTTTAAAGTTTAATTTGTGTAGTCCATCTCTTTGTGTTTCTGATGATAGCCTTACTTTTAATTATTGGGATTTCATACTTGGGACTGGATCATGATCCAATACGATTGTCCGTTTCTTTTATTGTAATGAGTTGGTTAGGATGAAAAAAAGACCTTTGTCGGGCAATGAATGGCATAATTATAAGGAAAACTTCCGACCTGTTTTAAATGTAATTGTTTACTGAGTGGTCGTGAATAAGTTCCATCAAAGCAAAAGAATGTTGTAGTTGGACATTACCATTTACGTCGATCTGAGGTTGTCTTCTTGCTATCAGGTGTAAGTTCATTGGCATTATAATGTAATTCCTTAAAACCAATAGACTTTTCGATCTCATAGTTGTGTTGATATTTTTCGATAATTTACATGTTTTAAGTGCTTCCCGTATGCATTTATGTATGCAGCTTCAAAGTGTTTAGCTTTCCAAACATTGTTCGGCAATAAAAATGAAAACAACACTTTATAAATTTCAGGCGTCCTTAGCGCTTTTCTGGATTTACGTTCATCAGGAATGCTCTAAGCCGAATAATTGAAAGCCAAGAATGTATAAAAACCGAAAAAGTTGAAGAGCTATATGATCAAAAGGACATAAAAATAATCCACCTCAGATAAACGTTGTCCCAAGGAGTTAAAACCTTAGTTTCTTAATAATTTCTAAATTAATAAACGGATAATCTAAGAAAGGTTTGTTATAAATCATGTCCATACCAATATATCTTCTAAAATAATGCCCTATCATGACCAATATGTTAAATCTTTTTCTGACAGGCACGTGCTAGTGAGGATTATCATGTTAAAGAAGATCAGTGGAAAATAGGTGTATCGTCTTTGTTTGCATATGCACTTGGATTGGCTCCATCGAAAGATACTTTCTGGACTACAACTGTACAGAACGGCAACCCAAAATACCCAAGTAAGTCTTGAATTCACGAAGGACAATAAGAAATGTCTGTCAAATTGGGATGAATACATTATGATATAAAAATAAACACAGATTCCGCTTAGACATTAAAATCTAATACAAACACAGTAGATTGTAATTCTATCGTTGTAGTTGGTTGCTGACTATGATATCTTTTTTTATTATTATTTTGCACATAAATCAGACTTGATTTTTCGTTTGAATTGTTAGACATTTTGTCATGTCGGAGTCTTTCATATAGAACTACACGGTATGGGTTTTGCACATTGTTGAAGGGCGTTCGGTGTCCTATATTGGCAATTATACCACGTTTTCTTATTTTTATATCGGTTGGTTTGGGATTGAAAGGAACTCCTCTTTCATACGTGTCACTTGATGATTGACTAAAGACATATTTTTAGAACTTTTGCAAAATCTCATAAACATAATTATTTTTTTAACAGCCATTAAAGTGATTTGTATACATTTCTAGAGAAACAAGAACTATGGCCTGCTTTACAAACCGTAGTTGCTACATTGAGTATGGGTCCAGTTGGTCCGGGTGACATGATAGGAGCTACTAACAAAGATCTTTTAATGCGGTAAGATAGAATTATAGTCTTTTCTGAAGTAGCTAGTTTCGGATTTAATTAAGGAGACGTGAAATGTACATAAATGAGATGTGTCAAAAATGTGACGGACATCTTTTACAATAGACAAATATTTTGAACAAATGTGAAGAACATCAATTGCGGTTATTTGTTGTGTACATTGTGTGTTATTGAATGTATTATCAGATTATCATTCGTAAAATCAGCTTCTATGAAAATATGTGCCGTTTTAATGTCTCATTTTTGTCTTATTCTAATATCTATACTATTAAACGAGAAGACCTCATTTTGTGTGTCGCTTCTCTTCCTTCCACAATAAATAAATCAGCATGCCTCTGTGTCCTATAGGTACCTTGCATAGTCGCATTTGTCATCCATTCTTATGATTATTCAGTTTGGGTTATTTGGGGAAAAAAACGAAAATAAAGACGTCCGGATATTGTTTCCGTCATCAGACCGACTTTTAAGTCATAGACAAGACTTCCGGCTTTAAATTTACAAATAATTTTCATAAGTCCTCGGGGACAGGACAATCATTTTCGCGTTTATCTGCATGTATACTATGATTATACTACTATAATATATAGAGACTCTCTATACATTATAACAGTGATCGCCGTGGAGAAGAAACTTGAAATTGATAGTTAATAACACATACACTTTACATAGGCGGATCCAAAAGGGGGGGGGGGGGGGATTTGGTTGACTATATAGGGAATCACTGAAGCATGACTGGAGCGGGCCCCCCTTAGATCAGTCAGTGGGACCCCTTACAAAAAGTTCTGGATCCGCCACTGCTGTATTTATAATATACGTATGTTCATATCATAGTATACAGAAACGCGAAAATAATGGAATTCAACAGACAACAAATCAAATGACGGACTTTGGAAAAAAGAGAGAGGGCTTAAAAATATTGTTTTGTCTCCAAGTACCTATGATTTTTGATACCTTTTCTGAAATTGTCCAGACATAACAGTGGCGGATCCAAAAATTTTCATAAGGGAGGGGGGGGCACTGACTGCCTAAGAGGGGTCCCGCTCCAGTCATGCATCATTGATTCCCTATATAATAAACAAATCCCCCCACAAAAGGGGGGGGGGGGGTCCGAGCCCCTTGAAAAACCCTCCAAATCCGCCTCTGCATGTAATCTTTTACAAAAATTCATCCTACAACAGTTTACATACTTTCAACCAAGCTCTATATTTATTGAATTTTCCATCGGAACTTTTCTAGACTTTACTTAAAATGTATTGCTTATGTTTTGATAAGATGCTGTAACATGGAAGGTTTAATACTGAAGCCATCTAAGCCAGCAACGGCCATGGATATTCAAATTATAAAGGTAACAAGATATAAAAGCATTTCATCGAAATATGTTATCAGATATTTTTGATAAATCAAAATGCAAAAGAAATGAAACGAAACAGTACCTACCTGATAGTTCACCTTGTGCATGTTTATTTGACTATTTGGGTTTTTTTTCAATTAGTGTATGTAGTCTTTTTAGAATGTTGTTTTGTTCGGTATAATAAAACAATTAATGACTAGTTATGAGTGTAATATCAAGCTTGTTGTCCCTTTGAAACTAACTATTGCCCTCGGCTTCGCCTCCAGCAATAGTTGGTATCTCAGGGACAACAAACTTGCTATTACCCTCATAACCAGTCAATAGGTGTATATATCTATTCGATGGAAATATGTTTAAAACATAAATATGTTGTGATTCATCAAAATGTTTTAAAAACACCTGGCTATGAAAGAATACAATGTTAACTGCATTCCAATTTCTGTGAACTTCGTATAAAGTCCAGCCCCCAATACACTTGAACATACGTAGTCGCGTTGTCTGTGGACAGGAATATACAAGGCCATTATAAATAAGGCCGTTAGTTTTCTCAATTGAATAGTTTCATATTTTTCATGTCGGGGTCTTTTATAGCCGACTATAGGTATGGGGTTTTCTCATTGTTGAAGGCCGTACGGTTGCCTATAATTGCTTACATCCACTTCATTTGAACTTGGATGGATAGTTGTCTCATTGGCAATCATACCACATCTCCTTATTTTTATACACGCATGTATTATAGAATATAATATTACATTGTAGTTTAAAAAGACGTTCAGATAGACATTTGGGTTGTTGTTGTTTGACTTCGGAAATTTCTCTTTAAATTAATTTCATTTAAAAAAAAATACATTATAGGCAGCATTTCCAGACTTCGATGGACCAGATGGTCAAGTTTGGACCTCCTTATCAGAGATATATGGTGACAAAACTACTAAATTTGGTATAATATTAGCTGCTAATATGTCTAAACCGTACAAACTCAGAGCATACCAAACAGAATTCCCGTATCAAGTAAGTAATTAGAATAATTCATAATGGATATGAATAAAAATCGACTAGAGGTATACTTCAAAGAGACAGCAATTATACAACAACACATAATAGGAAAGCTACACACACAACGTAACTCAAGCATTAAATAGAACCGTGCACCATTCATAGAAGCTCCTCTCTCAAAGAAGAACAAAATTCTCTAATCAGGTATGGGATTGATTCGAAGTGCATTCATGACATTAACCTCATAGTGAAAAGTTAGAGCCAACATTTTGGAAAAACCAGAGATGTTTGAGTACCTGAGAGCTATACAGGTGAATGAGTATAGAAAGAACACCGGAAGTTGATTTCATCGTATGTGGGAGATGTAACCGTAGGTTTTGTGAATATAACAAATATCATCACAATTTTCACAGTAAATCATGGCCATGATTAGGCAAGAGTGCTTGGCGGATATTTATTTTCATGATAATGTGTTTGTTTAAGCTGATTATATAAATTCACATGTATCACAATATTTCCCGGATTTTTCACTGATTGAATAATAAATTGACCGATTCACGGCGACCTTAGAGTATTTGGTTTCAAAATAACTCTGAATCCCAGTTGTGGATAAGATATTTTAAAGTACATTCAAATTAGATCCCTCTCCTCTCGTCAATCCTTTAAGAACCTATTTTTCTACTTGTCTTGCCAACTTGTTTCAAGATTATTCTGATGAGGCAGATCTTATATAGGAGCTTAAGAAAATTAAAAGAAGCTGGCATTAAATGTTTAAGAAATTGATGGTTTTATGCCCCAAATGATATTTTTTCCGACTAAAGTGAAGGGGAATCAGCCGCTATATGTTGTTGGTGGTCTCTATTGAGTACATTCACAACTTGATGAGCCGATGCGACTTGACTTTGACCAGGAACTGCTGTCATCATTGAATGCCACGTGTTGAACTGTTACAGTAGATTGTTTTTTTATTTTTGTTTTGTTTTAAGAAGCTGTCCCATATATACCTAACATCTCTTTCTATTGACATTTAACGTCTGGAAAATACTAAAAACTATCGCGTGCTCTGGAAGTGTTAATATATTTAGCTATTTGAGACACCTCAGTCCTGTTGTGTTTCTCAATGGCCTGTTGAAAAAGTTATAACATTTCTAAATTTAAACATCGGTTGTATTGTTCTCATCATTGACGATAATTAATAAAATTCGGTATTGGGTCGAAATCAATACAAATTACAAACACTAAAGGAAATATGCATATCAAACACTTGCATGTGGCACACTCAACTTATAACGGTCGGCCAACTCTTAATGGCAACCATATACGTGACTAGCAATTAAATATGAGAGTGTTTGTGGACTGTCATGTAAATCCATGAATTGAAAATAAGATTTTGCGTAGTTGGTAAACTGTACAAATTTTGACACCATAAGATGGTGATAGAGGTATGTAACTGTCAGAAAAAGGAAATGTAATATACGTTTTAGTTGGAGACTGAAACTTTCACATTTGTCATATATCTACTTCTAATGTTTATTGATAAATGAGCACTCAGGTAATCCCACATACAAAACATATCATTTGACAAGAATGAGATTTTGGTGAATCATAAGTCCTTCATGGCTTCAATGAACATTACATTGAACAGCAAATCTGAGGACTTACCTTGTTTGTATTGGATACCTAAGCTTCGAAAAATTCCGTACAAACAACGGTATGTTGCCGGCTCATCTGCATGTTCTACGAAGGAATTGTCCATTAGATTGACAAAAATTTTGACCTCATTGAAAGAGGGTCTTTAGAAATACTGTGAAACTGTTTACTCGCGTAGTTTTATTATCCAACAGTGGATTCTAAAAAACTCTAAAGAACTTCTGGATAATTTTAAATCTCGATCTTTCTCTGAAATTATTTCTATCAACACTTTTATTTTTCAACCCTGTATACCACCATTCCCCATGTGGAATAAAAAATCGTCTAAAAGAAATACTTCACAATGCTTTTCAATATAAAAATGGTAGCATACGCTATAAATTTATTACTTTGGGATACCATACGGCGTATTTTGTTTTAATAGTGAACAAAACGGTAAAATATGCTACACAGAGGATTAAGTGATCAGTAGGCTAGAGTTTCCTATTGGCAACATATTCGTTGAATTTGGAGGTAGACTTTTTCAACAAATTATCGGCATTCCTATGGGAACAAACTGTGTGCCTCTCCTTGCCGACCTCTTCTTATTTTCATATGAGTCGGAGTTCCTTCAGATACTTGTCTAAACAAGAAGATTAAAGAAGCCAGATCATTTAATTTCACATTCAGATATATTGATGATGTTCTTTCCATTAACAATCCCAACTTTTCTGATTGGGTTTCATTAATATATCCTCCAGATCTAGAAATTAAAGAAACAACAGACACGGCTTCCTCATTCTCATTTTTAGACTTATACCTCGAATTTGACATAAGCGGTCATCTCAGTACAAAAATCTATGAAAAACGAGACGATTTTAATTTTGAAATTATCAATTTCCCCCACCTTAGTAGCAATTCACTTGCATATGGGATATACATTTCCCAACTCATTCGGTATTCAAGAGCTTGCAGCTGCTACTCAGACTTTATAAAACGTCACCAATGTCTGAGCAGAAAGTTGATGAACCAGGTTTATGTCAAAGAACGTCTCGTCCTTTTTCTAAAAATGTTCATCGGAAGATACCAAGACCTTGTTGATAAATATTCCGTATCATCTTCACAAATAATACATGATGGTCTTGAAGTATAGATTGTAGGTACTGACGTTGTATATCAACCTAATGACGTGTTATGGTGGTCTTTTTTGTCCTTGTATATGTTTAACCTTTACTGTTAAGTCCATTTGTTTGGTAATATACTTTTGGCGTAGCTCGGTACTTATACATCCCGCCATTGTGTTATTGTGCTATTGTCAATTTTGTATTCTTGTCTCTCTTTTTTGCTTATATACTTTGTCTATAGAGTGTCTTAATGCCAATTTGTTTTTCATTGATGAAATAGTTATTTGTTTTTACAGTGATTAAGATTATACTATAATGTTGACTGCTGTATCCCAATTTTTGACATTTTTACCTGTTATATATAAATAAGAAGACGTGGTATGAGTGCAAATGAGACAACTATCTATCCAAGTCACAATGTGTAATAAAAAGTAAACAATTATAGGTAAAAGTACGGAACTGTCTTGCTCACACATTGTTGTCAATATAATGGAATTCTATGCGACTGTCATATGATTGATAGGTTAAGCTAGCTATAAAACCAGGTTTAATCCACTACATAAGGAAATGCCTGTACCAAGTCAGGAATATGACAATTGTTTTCATGCATTCGTTTGGTGTGTTTGAGCTTTTGATTTTGCCATTTGATAAGAGACTTTCCGTTTTGAATTTTCCTTGGAGTTCGGTATTTTTGTTATTTTACTTTTTACAGATCAAGTTATAAACAAGCTTTGGCTAATTCAACTATATCTATAATTTACATCTCATCATTATAGATGGGATATAGATCGTTTTTAAACTTTTGATTGATGAGGATATTGTAAAAGCTGAAATACATGAAATGATAACGCAAAATTCCTTTTCATTCTTTCATCAAAATGCTTGCACAAGTTTTGCTCTAGAAACAAATCCAAAAGGAGGCTGTTTATTCCAAATAAGGTGAATTAGAGAAGTTTTGCTAAGAAGAACTGTCTTGCTTCTGCCCAACTCACATTTGCATTACTTCTTTGGAGTTCATAAAATATAATTTGAGAATGTTTTTACAGAGAGTCAAATTGTAAAGTGTCGAGACAAACATATGCAGTGGCAAAATATCCTTTGTAGACCATTTATATTTTATTTACGTTTCTAGTCTAGTAGAACAGATCACCGTACTAACATAGAAGCCATAAGCTTCCTTGGTACACACATTAAGAGTTGAGGAACATTTTGTAGACTAAGCTACAACCCGTTGATTGTCAGAAGACTTGTTACATTTTGGTGTCCTGTATATGTCATATGCTATCAACTATAATTAACCATAGTTATTGCAATCAAAACATTTACGAGCATTTTCGGACAAAGCGTTTATGAGATGATCGTTTGGTGGTCTTCTTGTGGTGTCTGATGTTACACCTAGCGTTACAACACGACAGTCAATTCGGTAAATGTAAAATATTTGTAAGAAGTAAATGTTAGATTTAAAAACCCATGTTAAAAATAAGAGATAACACATCCTATCCCGTTTAAAGTAAGACTGTGAACATAACGATTAAATATACATTTTTCGTAATTTTCTGTGTCTGTTTGTTCGGTTTGTTCGGACTTTCCTTTTAGAATTTTCCTCGGAGTTCAGTATTTTTGTGATTTTACTTTTTACATGTAGGAGGCGTGGTTATCATTAATGATTTATGCCAGCTTTTTGTGTTGTCCTTTTCAGTTTTACGACAGTATAGTATTTCCATACAACAAACCTGAAGCAGGAATGCCTTTCAATGGTAAATCACCACTCAATCTCAACGGATGTACTAGTGATCAATTCTGTTTGCTTTACCTATCACCAATAATAAATGTGTAAGTTTTTTACCTACTTTGCTTTACCTATCACCAATAATAACTGTGCAAGTTTTTTTGCCTACTTTGCTTTACCTATCACCAATAATAACTGTGTAAGTTGTTTGCCTACTTTGCTTAAGGAATCTTTAAGAAATGTTGAAGCCTGCATAATATTTTGTATTAAGACTTATAGAAACTTTACGTAGGGGAAACATGGTCAGAAAGTCTACAAATAGATTTTACGCATATTTGATTCTCGACCGAATTTGTGCAGTTGGTAAAATAAATTATCAGGCGTTCAATAAGCAATTAAAAGCTGGGATGAAAAATTTTGTCCTGCCTTTTTATTTTTCCCTATATTCGGTTCTGCCTTTTTATTTTTCACTCTTTTCGGTCCTGCCCTTTTTTTTTTAGTTTATCCTGACTTTTTTTTTTACATAAATTGTCATCCTGCCTTTTTTTTTTTTGGCAAATAATCTCATCCTGCCTTTTTTTTTTACTCAAAACTCCTGTCCTGCCTATTTTTTTCAAATTTCATCCTAGCACGATTAGAACTGATTTGGTCAGTTCTACGGCTAGAACAGTTTTAGACAGTTCTGCTGACAGTTCTACGGTTAGAACTGATTTAGTCAGTTCTGCTGACAGTTCTACGGTTAGAACTGATTTGGTCAGTTCTGCTGACAGTTCTACGACTAGAACTGACTTGGACAGTTCTACGACTAGAACTGACTTGGACAGTTCTACCTAGAACAGTTTTAGACAGTTCTACCCTAGAACTGATCCTGACAGTTCTACCTAGAACTGATTTGGTCAGCTCTACCTAGAACTGATTCTGACAGTTTAGAACAGTTCTATGACAGATTATTCTGACAGTTCTAATGAGAGGTTAGAAGTGATCTCCACTGTATCAAATGATGCATTTCAATAACGCAACAATAAAACTGTGCAAATAATTTTTAATATAAAATACCTTTATAGAGACTCGGGGAATATGTGTTTTCGTCTGTCGCTTTAATGTACCTTTTTTAAAGTCCAATCTGAAAGACTTTATCTTGCATATTTATTAATTATGCATTGTTCTTATCACAGAGGACAACATACCATTGCGATATATGGTGAACATGACAAATTTGTTCCAATGTCTCCACAACGAGTAACAGATGTTATATATACCGAGGACGATATGGTTCTCCAATTGGTTGGTGTACCATCTGAAAAGGTTATCGTATCGTATCTGTTGGACGGAGTGCAGAAAAATGTCACTACAGTCTTCAGTACTTCTCGAACAGCCCAAATTAGCCTCATATTAGGAAAAACTACACATGTGACACCTGGGCACCAAAGGCCATTAGCAGGACCTTTTAATGGATTTGGAAAGAGAGGCGTATGATTGTTGAAATAAATATCGAAATAGAAAATCATGAACAAATTAAAGGATGTGTTTTTTTTTCATTTTTGATCTCTTACAATACATAATATTAAGCAAATAATGACAGTACCATAGCTAAACGAAAAAAAAGACAAAACTACAAACTGTAGTAAAAAAATCACACACGACAACAACACTTTCAGAAAGCTAAATGTTCAGCATGACTAATATAAAAATAAGGAGATGTGGTATGATTGCCAATGAGACAACTATCCACCAAAGTTCAAATGAAGTTGATGTAAGCAATTACAGGCAATAGTACGGCCTTCAACAATGAGAAAACTCATACCGTATGTTGAAATAAGAAGATGTGGTATGAGTGCCAATGAGACAACTCTCCATCCAAGTCACAATGTGTAAAAAGTAAACAATTATAGGTCAATGTATGGCCTTCAACACAGCAATGGCTAACACCGAACAGCAAGCTATAAAGGGCCCCATAATGACTAGTGTAAAACAGTTCAAACAGGAAAACCAACTATCTAATCTATATGAAAAACGAGAAACGAGAAACACTTAAGAACCACATCAACAAACGACAACCACTGAAACAGGTTTCTGACTTAGGCCAGGTGCAAATATGGTCGGCTATAAACCAACGACAACCACTGAACTACAGGCTCCTGACTTGGGACAGGCACATAAAGAATGTGGCGGTGTTAAACATGTTTGTGAGCGCCCAATCCTCCCTCTAACCTGGGACAGTGGTGTAACAGTACAACATAAGAACAAACTACAAAAATCAGTTGAAAAAGGCTTAACTCATCAGATGGATACAAATAGAAATACATCTAACAAAAACAAAGAGTGGACGTGAACGGGTACGTGTACATCCGCACAAAAATAAAACAGTAAGTACAGATCTGAGAGTACTCGCAGTTACTGACAGTTAGTTCAAAGCCAATAACAACTAATAAAAAAAATCATGTATCGAAGACTAAAATATCAATCAGTATACATCCAACATCCAATGGATTTAGTGTAAAGACATCATTAACAGTCAAAGAAAAACATGACCTTGTGAAATGCCAAACTATAGGTATCGACAGATTGTAGTACCGTGAAAGTACATATGTGTAATATTTAGTATGGTTTTAATTTACTGATAACAAAATCAATATTTAAACCATTAAAACAATATTCAAAGATTTGATTACAGTGTTGAATAGGTAACCTTTTAGAATAAGTTTATTTAAAGGATTGATAAGTTTACCCGAATCATATCGAAATTTCCGGGCTCTGTTTAAAACATCACCGTAAAATTTAGGATGTGCTATTCTGTTTGAAATAAGTTTTCTACAGGTTCAGCCAAACTTGCAGACCAAATCTTTGTATCTAAATTTAGTAAATGTTTAAAGTAATTTGTGGTAACGAAATCCCTGACTTAATAATTTACTAGTTCTATATAGATTACGCGCATTGAAATCCAAAACGTCACTACAGACATGAGCATAGCGAACGAGTTGGGGTATATAAACACCGTAAGATGGTGCCAAATGAACATCACCGTCCAAAAAGGGAAAATTAACAATGGGGAAAAATCATCACTTTTGTCGTAAATTTTTGTGTAGAGTTTCTGGTGTAATACTGAGATATCTAAATCTAGAAAAGGACAGTTATTGCTGTTAATATTTGATTTATTTAAAGTAAGTTTCTTTTGGTAAATTTCAGCAGTATATTTAGAGAATTCTTGATTATTTAACGAAAAAATATCATCAAGATAACGGTAAGTGCTGTTGAATTTATTAATTAAATGGAATTTAGACTGTTCTTTGCTGAGTTTGGCCATAAACTGTGATTCATAACAGTAAATGAACAAGTCTGCTATTAAAGGGGTACAATTGGTGCGTGTAGGAATACCTTCAACCTGTCGATAAACTTTATTGCCGAAACGTACATAGATGTTGTCAAGGAGAAAAATTACTCATCACACCTCCAACAAGTATATCTAGCATATTTACCTTTCTAAACACTTAAAGTTTGACACAACTGGTTGAATGTTGTTTTCATGTTATCTGGAATAATGTTGAAATCACCAGCAATAACTGACTTTCCGATTGATGACTGCATAATAAAAAGGAATTTTTCTAGAGAGGTGTTAACATTATTTGATGATAATCTATATAACAATCCGAACTCTGTCTACGAGTTTTTGGTTGTGCATGAGTTCCATAAAATTTGCATGACGCAGACTTAAGTTAGAGTGCGGAAACGGAAAAAAAAAAGCCATTTTCCAAGTTATAAAAGGGCATAACTCTAAGAAGGTTTGTGATTCACGGTCCAAATTCGAACTATTTCTGCGAGTTTTTGGTTCTCAGCATTGTGTAGGAGTTTCATAAAATTGAGGTAACATAAGTTGAAGTGCGGAAACGAAAAAAAATGCAATTTTGTAAAATGTGTCCACTAAACGAAACAAACATGTTTTTTATATAACAAATCAAGATTCTTGATGAAAGTTTCAGAAAGCGTTTAATTTGATTCAGAGTGTTTTTACCAAGTATAACGTGTCCCTTCTTTACAAAGGATATTAAGGATACAACAGTAACACAAATTGATCCCTCCTATTACCTTTATGTATATTATCATTCAGTGTAATATCTTAAATATATAAGTAAGATAAGAACAGAAAGATAAATAGTAATGTACAATGTAAGACCAGCATTGAAATGATTTTAAGACATTACATCCATACACCTGCATAAACAGCGCAAGACAGCTAAAAGTGGCGCTCTCTTCATAGAGGAATTAACACATTAAGTGTACCTTATCATGGGGAAATAATATTTGCCGCCTGACTCTCAGACTGTTAAGTGTACAGTAATACTAGTCTTCCAAGTAAATAGTTACTTCATAATAAATTAATCAAAACTGAGGTCGTTATATTTATCGAAGTTTACACTAACATTGGAGACTATAAGGATACTGTGATTAATTCAAAGCAAATAATATATCCCTTTGTCAATACTATAATCCTAGTTCACACACACACACACACACACACAAAGCAAAACGTTCTTCTTATTCTAAGTTGTAAATGAATAACACTGGCATAATGATAACGATATCAAAGATACATGACGGATATAAACGGTTTGATTTCATTTGTCATTTATCAGTTCACTGCATGTACATGTATTAATAATAGAAATGCGGCCACTCCTACCTAATTCTAAGTTCCTTGTATTTTATGGAGTGTTTCGAACGAAATTTTTTTTTTTTAATTTTCCCAGGGAGCGACATAAAAATAACAAGAGCAAGCGAGAGGTTTTTAAAACCAACTTAGAAAAAATAGATTCTTGACATCTGTGGGTCCATTTTGTATATGGCTCATTTTTGTCCGCAATAAAGATATTGTCAGTAAATGTAACATTTTAACACAGTTGTACGTTCCTACACTTATGCAAATTAAGAGATCTAAAAAAAATATTAGTCATTAAAATAAAGATTCACACATTTGTTAAAAGCGCCAAAATTAAAAAAATCAAAGACGCAAAATTATCTGCATGATTGAAAGTTAAAAACAAGTATATGTATTTGAATATGAAGCAGGCTAAAACTATTCACTTTCGCATGGTGTTAACTCATTTAAAATTTTCAAACGTAGAATCTCCAAATATTCAACGCACGGAATTGACGTTTTAACAACACTCTTTCACGGTTAAAATTTAACTTATCACTAATGTTTTGTCGCTTATCAACCAGTTATATCATAATTATATGTAGTGCTTCTGATGCGTTTTATGAAATATGATAAAATTATTAGCTCACTTAGCCCTATGGGTCATGTCAGCTATTGTCATTACTTGGCGCCCGTCGTCGTCGTAAAACTTTTCGAATATATTCTCCTTTGAAACCGACCAAACTCAGGCTGAATGACCCTTAGGGTATTTGGTATTAAGTTTATATTTTTGATCCTGCCATTTACTGCCCATTAACAAGCATGGGTACCGGTGCCATTGATAGAATTAGAAAACAAGAGAAAAATGCCAGTTATTGTGGAATATTTGGAAACCATAATAGAAAGATCAAATAAGATTTGGAAATTGGAAATGAAATGTGAGAGAAATTTTAAACAGCAAAAATGATCATCAAACCAAGATCTACAAATAAGTCTAACATAACCGGAATTGTCTATCGATGCTTTTTAGGAGTTATTGCCCTTGGAAGACAATTTTTGTGACCCAGATTTGAATTTTTAAAACGTGACAAAAATTTTCGACTCCGTATATGAGTTATAAAATCACCCTTGGGTGACAATTTTACCAATATTTTGCATTTTTGTATAATTTCTTGAAAAACCAAAAACTTAGAACATGTAGAAATATATATTTGTGTACATCTACATTTTTTGTAGTTGAGCGTCTAACTGTGTTGGAAATTTTTTTATGAAAAGTAAATAAACATATAATCACAGTTAAAAAAAATATTTTGAAGAAATTAATTGATGCGTAAAATCGGCTAACTAACTCACAAACTGAATAAAATCCGAAGGACTTTATGTTAATTTTGTGAGTGAAAGGCTATTGATGTATACACTCGGCCATCTCACTTCCAGACTGAATAAAATCCGAAGGACTTTATGTTAATTTTGTGAGTAAAAGGCCAAGTTTATATATCAATAAACTTTATTGCTTATATTCTATTAAATTCACTGAAAATTATGCCTAGATAAAATATTTTATGAACACTATTTCGCCTGTGTAGGTACTAATAATCGTGACGTCATGAAACAGGTTTATACAAATATACACTGTTTGGTTATCATGACGCCCACATATGAAATAATACTTTACGTTATATAAAGTAAATAAAAGCTTTACAAAGCAACTGATACATTACCAGTATCTGACTGAACCAAAATTTGGCGGTGGACGATTCCGCTGTGTCCTTCTCCATCCCAACAACAGTCTATACCTTCGGGATAACTTAGAGCTTGACATATGTGTTTAGACACCTGTCTATAACTGAAGACTATGTTGTTCTCTTGATTATCTTTTGTTTATGT